GTTATATTTCCAATGTAGGACACTCGACTTCCTTTGGAGAAAAAAGTGATCAAACGGATGAATTTTGGAGTAATTCCAATTGGAAGATGTTTGTGAGTCTTTCAAGATGATTGTATCAAATTTTCAAATTTTTCTACAAAGCCATTTGACCGTGGTGATGAACTAAAGGCCCAGCGCGTAGTTTTCTCAGATTGACGTTTATGGACATTATGGGTATTTTGGAGGTCAAAAGGGCATATTTTGAGGAAGATTCCTTCTGAGGATTTGTAGGGGATGACTTAAGCTTCAAAAGAGACCTTTTGTGACTAAATCAAAGTTGATTTGGTCGGTCAGAAGTCTGATTTTCTGATAAATCTGAATTTTAGTTCAAATATGAAACCTTTTTATTTTCTGTTTTATTATTTAATTATGTTTCCTAGTTTTATTCTAAGACCTTTTAGGGTTTTATTTTGTAGTAGTATAAATAAGATATTTAGCCATTAGGTTAAGGAGGGAAGGAGAGGAGGAAACGCACGCACACTTTAGAGAGTTTTTTCAAGTTTATTTTCTAGCTGTTTTCTATCTTATTCTCAATAATATTTTGTTTTATGATTGTTCGTAACTAATTTCCGCTTGCTAGGGCGAAGCCACGAGTTTTAGCATGAATATGTGATTGTATTAATTTGCTTATGAATGGATGCATGCTTGCATTGAATTATTAATCACCGCAATTAAACTATCTAATTGTCTTAGTGATTCGCAACCATTAGGGTCTTTAGGGATGGTTTGGGAGTGAGGTGCTTAAAAAAAAGCACCTATGAAAAAAAGCTGTGAGGGTTTTAGGTGTTTGGTAAACTGAAAAAAAAAAGGCTTATTTTGGAAACTGCTGTGATAATAAGCTGAAATCAAAGGAAAAAAGCTGAAGCTGCTATTTGCAGCTTTGGAAAACTGGCTTTTTTTTCAAAGCACAAGGAGCTAAAGTGCTCCTTTAATGAAAACCCCCACTATCAGATTGCTTTTTTTTTTCCAAAAGCACTTTTACAAAAAAGTTTACCAAACACTCTGCTGATTTATTTCACAGCCGCTTATTCTCACAGCACAGCCGCTTATTCTCACAGTAGCTTTTTTTCAAAGCACAGCAATACCAAACCAGGCCTTAGACAAGTAATTTGATGCAATTTTTGTTGGAACATCACCCTGAAAGTGAGGAGGACTTCTTTGATTAGTAATTGTAAGCTCACTTAAGGTGAACATCACGCTCTTAAGGGTTGCATGGTTTTTCAAAGGGTTTTCACAAGACTTAATGAGTTTATATTTGATCTGAACATCACAGACGGGTTGCATGTCAAATATACGTTTTCACTTGAACATCACGAGGAAAATATGTATTAGGAAAACTTAACTTCAAAGCATGTATGTAAAAATTCATAAGTAATTGGTAAAATTGCATAAGATTGTTAAGGGAACGGCGGAATCCTATGGTTTTAAAAATTGATTTTCTTTAAATTGTTATCTAGTTAATTTCTTTAATTGTTTTATTTTAAAATTCATTTTTATTAGGGAGCCAGACAATTATTTTGACATATTAAACTAAAAGAAATGTAAGGATAATGACAATTATATAACAAAAAATTGATGAGGTTGTCTTTTTTATTAGAGTAAAATTCTCTCCCCTTCAAATTCTCCTCCTCTTCAACTTTATATTTGAACGGTCATGATTAAGTCTACTCAACATTTGCTTCTTTATAAAAAAATAAAAAAAGAAGAAGAGAAAAGTGAGAGAGGAGCGGACGGAGAAGGGATTTGGCGGAAAGAAAATCATACTACTGATTGACCACCCCATCTTTGTGTTTGGATAGAGTACGTGTTGCACTTGTAATTTAATACGTATTTATGTTCTTTTAGATTCATTCTTGAAATATGATCCTGTAATGCAATCCATGTATTCTTTAGGTCAGATAATCTTTACCGACAAAATAACTCAATCATAAATCGTATAAGTTATAACTATTTGATTATTATCTTCATATTTCAATGTTTGTTGATATCATTGTCTTCGTAATTAATATCTGGTGATGGTTAAATAATATTTTCCTATATAATCGATTGCTCTCAAAGATTATCATTGAATGAGACCTTAAAAATAAGACCGTTTGAATTATGAAACTGTATTGTAATAAGACACAAAACAATACTAATTTTCATATTACATAACAAACTTTTATGTCTTTAATTATTCATGTTGTTCGGAGTCAGAGTGATTGTTTAATATATATATATATATATATCTCTCTCTCTCTCTCTCAGCGTGGATCGTTCATGAGTGCAAAAGGACCAAGTATTTTGGTGTCACCGTCCACGCAGCACATGACAGCCACCAATTGTTGTGACTATTACCCTCGTCGCATGCACTTTAATACTCACCCACACCACATATCGACTTGCATCTGCATGTCTCTCTCACTCTCTGCAATCAACAAGTTTATATGGACCCTATCTCTTCTTAGTACAAATATCTCTAACAATGACCTAAAGTTACAAGATCTTCTACATGATTTTCTTCTTTCATGTCTAATTGACATCTATATAATTGATTCGCCTATTGTCTTATTGTTGGGATGTTGAGTGAGATAATAGTTTCGTTAAGTGATGTCATCTCTTGAGTTTGATGAGAGGCACATTTTTATTTCTTAAACATATGACATCTTTTAATGGAAGTGTTCTCACTTTGTATTGTTATTACTTGCCAAGAAATCAATCATATTGTGTATACATACATACATTTTTTTTTGTTTAATCTTTTGAAATAGTCTATACAAATACCATTAGTGGTGGAAAAAGACTGCATTGTTGATATTGCACCATCGATCCACATCACTTTAACGCGTGAAGATTGTGGTTGTCAATTGGAGCAAAAATGCTCGGCCATAACAGGCTAACACCTAGTTGGCTTCTAAACCGTGAAATCAAAATCACCTTAATTAAGACTTGTCATTGTGACTTAGATTATCTGAGTTTAGATAAAGGGGAATTGAACCAATGTGAAAACCATGTCAATTAATCTGAACACACAGCATTAGAAATTGACTTAATTTTCCAAAACAAATTGATTGGAAATTAATATTTCCTAGTACAACACTTAACATTAGCTCAGCCACTTAATACTATGATTTAGTGATGTTCTTACATTCATTTGTAAGTGAAATGTCTTAAATTTGACTTTTATGAATGATAAATTTGACAGCAGATTATTATGTATAGCTTAGCCTACATCCTTTACCCCTTATATAAATATATTGTTGTATAAATAAATAAATAAAGGCAATGTCACCTATAGAGTGCACAGACTTACTCATGCTGCCTTAAAGCCCTTAACTGAGTTGATTGAGTGTCGCTAGATTGAACGAGTATGTTGGTTAATGATTTTAATTGTGCATGTACTTCTAAAACGTTACAGACCACTAACGCAATATCGCATTAAAAAAAAAGCATGCTATTCTGACATAAGTGTGATTTTTCAAAGAATGCATGTGATAGTGATTTCGAAGAATGTATGCAAGTCTTTCATTTACGCATATACCAAATTACTTCATGAACAATAAATTCACTCTTTTTAGGCCACGTCATAAATATATGAGCAAGACAAAGCTTATACGAGTTTGTAACTTATTCCAATTAATTGATTGATTATAACTGTCAGTGTTTTTCTTCTTTTGAATGCGGTCGTATATGAGACAATACATGATGCTGCATGCTATGTTTGGTTATCTTGGATCACGAGACTGCACGGATGCTGGACAATAGAGGGCAACGTACTGATCATCCCATTTCACAGTTTTGCATGGAGGGATTTCTGACATGCACCGCACCTTACTATACATCAGAATTTTTGGTCTTTCAATATTCCAATACTTCGATGAGAGTATGGTAAAATTTTTGTTCATGATTAGCTATCATCTCCAATCAATTTTCTTTAAAGATTAAAAATATATCCATGAAGAATATCTTATTGAAAGAAACGAGTGTGAACATATTAGTTATACGAAGTGCTTCTCACAATTTGTCACGTAATCAAAACGCGAGGAGTTAGTGTAAAGCCGTTGTATGGATACAGTGAGTATTGGATCCTAACTCCTCTAGAACAAAATTTGAAAATTAATAACTTGTAAAACAAATTGAGAAAAATAAAAAATAAAAATCATCAAGAAAGAAAAATAAATGATTCTTTACACAAAGAACCAAACTAATAACTGAAATAACAGAAATGTCACATGACATTATTCTAGTGGTTGAGTTTGTTAATATAGTTAGAAGGGTATCATTGTAATTAGGATATATGGTTATAGAAGGGATTGTATAGCTATCATTTCTTTAAGTTCATTTGTATACATTTTCCTAATCAATCAATACAATCTCTCTTGTTTCTCTCTATTGTCTTCCTCTTCCTCTATACCAACTTCATCTTTTACAATGTAGTTAATACAAACTAATCAGTTGACAAAACATAAAAACGATTAAAACTCAAACTAATAAAGTTAAGAATTCGCGTATACATGTGTCAAGAGAAATTCGCAAATGCCTAGTTGAATTTATTTGTAACTTCCTTGTTTACGTATAGAGTAATGTTAGAGAGACTAAATTTTTAAACCAAATTTGCAAACCAAATGATGTGTCACCAGTAGAAAATAAGCATGTTAATCAACACTTAAATAATAATCTAATAATCTTCAATCACATCATTTAGTTTACAAAATTTAATTTAAAATTTTAATCTCTTTAACATTAAGAAAAATTACATATAGAGTATACTTTTAATACTTCATTTTATATTAAGACAACACTTATTAAGCATTTCATGGAAAGACAAAAGTTAATATATAGAGTGGTGATATTCTCACCCCGGTATCTTATTTCCCCACCCACCATTTAATGAAAATGTTAATAACATATTTATCCTTTTAAAAGAAGACTCTTAAACCCCTATTTAATTCAGTATTATAATAATAAATAAATAATGGTGGATGGGGTGTGATATCTTTGGTGGAAAGAGGTTGGGAAAGATTTGGGTTAGAATCGACGAAAAGGTTGGAGGAAGGAATGGGCGTGTGCTAGATGAAGGCAAGAAACTTCAATAGAGAAAAAAGAGAATTGGGTGTGAAATCTACGGTTTTGACAAAAAAAGGAGAAAGAAGAGTGGTTTGGGGATCCGGGGTTTTTGCGGCATTAGGTGTGAAGGAGATGATGAATGTCTAGGTCTTAGGTCTTGCATTTTCTTTCATTTTTTATATTTTTATTTATTTATTTATAATATTATTTAAAGATATATCAGAGTTATTTATAAAAAAAAATATTATGGTTATTTTGGGAATAATGGTGGGTGGGGAAATAACATTTTACTTTTTTAATTTTCTATGGTGGGTGGGATTATCATGTGGGTGGGAAAATAGGACATTAGGGTGGATCTAGTAGCACTCAATATATATATGAAAGATGACATCATTGGTTTTTTTTGAAGTTACGAAAATACCCATTTTAGTGGTAAAGTATTTTCCCACCTCTATCTCCTTCATCTTTTGCTCCCTTCTCTCTCTCTCGCAAAAATATTGGCCCCATTTTTGCTTTTATCCTTCTCTCTTAACTCATTTGCTCGGCTACTTCAACGTTTTTGCACCAGCAAATTTGATACTTTGAGGTTAAGTGAAATTAGGAAGAAATTAGAGCAAAAGTCGAAGCTGTAAGGTGAGATCCGGCTCGTCTTGTTATTGTTTTGGTTGTTGTGATTTCGATATTGCTGCTTGGACTATTCTGGTTTGCAATCTGCATATGCACATGTTGATGCTTTCTTTCGAAACTTGAATTTTGGCCTTATTTCTATATTAGTTGATGGAGAATATTATTGGATTACTATTAAATTGGTTTAAACTGGACTTAGATCAAACTTACTCTAATAGGCTTTTCCTAATAAAACTTATCATCCTATAGTGATGATCTTAGCTTTTCCAAGTAAAAGTTAGGGTAAATTACAAAAAACTACCTCAACTATGGGTGAACGACAATCTCATACCTCATATTTTAAAAATGACAATATCATACCTCATCTTACGAATTCGTTTCAATGTCATACCTCCATCAGTTTTCTATTAAGTTTGATCATTAAGTTATGAGCTAGCAGGCGTGGGAACCACATCCTTACCCAACTAAATTAAAAAATTAATTAAATACTAACAAATATATTTCAACAAAAAAAAACTAATAAATATAGAAAATCATTTAAAAAATTATTAAGAAAATGTGGGACCCACCCCCATCCCCACCTTTTCCCGTCCCCTACCTTTGTCCCTTGGAATATATTTGACCAAAATAGAGGCCCAAGACCTCTTCCGACACCCCATCCAAACCCCCACCCACTCCTCTTCTGATCCCCGCCAATCCCGAGACTCCGACCACCGCCGCTCCCCACCATCCTCAACTGCATCCCACCTCCGACGCCGACGTCATCCACGTCCTTAGCTATTCTAGCTGGTTCTCGCCTTACTACATCCACCACTGCGAGGTCCGATTCCTCCCCGAGTTCTTCGATTCTCGATCCCCTTCGAAAAACCCTAGCCTCTACGAGTACTACCACAACACCATCATCACCGAATCCAGGGCCGTTAACCCATCTCTGAAGCTCACCTTCACGGAGCCCCGCAAGTCTCTAGTTGGCGACATCAGCTCCGTTCGGAGGGTTTTCGATTTCCTCGAGGCGTGGGGTTTGATCAATTACGTTCCTTCCGCACTCAACAAGCCCCTCAAGTGGGAGGACAGCAGCAAGGCCGCCGATGTTTCTTCTAATGAAGGCGGTGAATCCCTTGTCGGCGGTGCTAAGGAGAGCCCCAAGAAGAAGACCTGCAATGGCTGCAAGTTTATTTGCAGCATTGCCTCAACTATGGAGATTTGAAATTGCCCCAAGAAGAGGACTTGTAATTGAGGTTTTCTGTTTGAAATTGGCATGAAGATTTGAAATTTAGGGTTAGGGTTTGGGGCGAATTGGGGTTTTCCATTTGAAATTGGGGAATTAGGGTTAGGATTTGGGTCGAAGAAGGGAGGGGGTTCTGAAACAGAAAGAGAGACAAAGGTGGGGGACAGGAAAAGGTGGGTGATGGGGGTGGGTCCCACTATTTGTTAATAATTTTTTCAAATGATTTTCTATATTTATTATTATTTTTAGTTGAAATATATTTATTAGTGTTTAATTAATTTTTTTAATTTGGTTGGGTAAGGATGTGGGTCCCATGCTTGTCAGCTCATAATTTAACGGTCAAACTTAACAGAAAACTAACGGAGGTATGACATTGAAACGAATTCGTAAGATGAGATATGACATTGTCATTTTTCAAACATAAGGTATGAGATTGTCGTTCAACCCATAATTAAGTTAGTTTTTTGTAATTTACCGTAAAAGTCATCATCTTATACCTATGATCTTAATTCATGAGCCCTCACGGCTGGATATGGAGAAACAAACATACATACTTCCTATGAAAAGATTCTTGGTCAATAGTTTCCCCAAAGTATAATTGGTATGTTAATTCATACTCACTAAATTAAAATTTGGAGGCTCTGCTGAAGTTAGACCAGTCATCGACTATATTCTATTATCAAAGTTAGGGTTCTAATTCACTTTCTAATCAAATCTAACAAATCCATACCAAGCTTAGCGGTCAATGGTGCACCATGTATCCGTGAGCTGCTTCAGTTTGTTTTTGTTTTTTTTTTTTACTTTGCGTTTTGTTTACAAATAGATGACTAATTTTTTTGTTAAAAGACCAACGCCGACCCAGTCGGTGCATGGAATATGCTAGAAAACTCTAGCAAGTATTGCAGCAAGATGGAAAAGCCAAGTCCACCGAGTTAGGCTAGGAAAATGTAGAAAAATAATAGTCGAAGACGGGTTAAACTGATTCTGCAAAAAATAATTAAGAACTAGTTGAACTGATTTTGCAAAAATGGTCGAGTATTGATTGAACTGATTTTGCAAAAATGGTTGAAAGCGTTATGCACTGATTCTGCAAAAATGGTTGAGAATAGGTTGAACTGATTCTGCAAAAATGGTCGAAGACATGTTGAACTGATTCTTCCAAAATTGCAAAAATGGTTGAGGACGAGTTGAACTGATTCTGCAAAAATGGTCGAAGACTAGTTAAACTGATTTTGCAAAAATAGTCAATGATGAGTTGAACTGATTCACTGATTCTACAAAAATGGTGGAAGACAGGTAAAATTGATTCTACAAAAATGGTCAAGGATAGGTTGAAATGATTCTGTAAAAAAGGTCGATGATGGATTGAACTGATTTTGCAAAAAAGGTTGATGACGGATTGAACTGATTTTGCAAAATGGTTGAGGATGGGTTGAACTGATTCTAGTAATAAGGATACAAACTGATTCTACATATAGTTTCAAAACTGATTCTGCAGAAATAGTCGATGATGGGTTAAGCTTATGGCGCATATTATTTTGTTGTTGTGAGGGTTGAGTTCCATTAATAGCTTTAAAGTCTTAGGGGTATGACTGGTATTTTAAAACGTTATTTTCATGTTTTTGGGTTGGGTTTTAATTTTTTTATATTTTTGTCTCTCATTGATATATTTAAGAACTAGTCGAGTTTCTTGATATAGTAAAAGTTTTTGTCTCTATATGTAAAACTCTCTTAACATTACCTTTACGTATATATGAAGAGTAATGTTAGATAGACTAAATTTATAAACTAGATTTGTAAACTAAATAATGTGTCACCAATAGGAAATGAGTACGTTTATCAATGTTTAAGTAATAATCTAATCATCAATTTTCATGTTATTTAATTTACAAAATTTAATCTACAAATTTAATTTCCCTAGCATTACTCGTATATGAATCATTTCCAGTGGGCCTTGCCTCACATGCCCAAAAACCCCTTTATCTTGAACACAAGTAGACCCAGCAGTTTCTGACACGATACGGTGACACACTACTAGAAATTATATTTTGCCGACAAATTATAAGCCGAGAAAGCAAAAAATGAGCCGACGAAATATCAAGATTCGTCGAGAAAGATCTTGCGTGACATGCTTTTAGCGACAAAATTACACAAAAATAACGGGTTTCGGGTCAACACGATAACTTATCTGGTGATCCGTTAAGAACCTGTTAATAACGGGTTTTTAACGGGTATACACGCAGGTAACACGTGGGTAAACCGTTTCGACCCGTTAAGAAAAAAAACTATTTTGATAATTTTAAAGTTTAATTACTAAAAGATTTATTATAAAATACAATAGCCATATTAATATATACAATATATTTTATATTAAATATATAGTTTTGTATTATTATTCTATATAAGGTTAAAAAAAAAGTTTTAGTCATTATTTATTTTTATTACGAGAGTTCCTTATTATCATTACTAGGATAAATTTTACTTAACATGTTGTTGTCCAAAATTAAAATAAACTAATATAGTATTTGTCTAGACAAGAACTAAGAAGACATACATACAAGTATGAAAAATGTGAAAGAATATATAAACACTCGTGATTCATCATTATTCCTCCACGAGTAGATAATGGTTACACTTACATTATCGTTTAGATTTTTAAAATCCTCCAAACCTTCATGAATAATGTTTTTTATTTGAGGGAAAAATTAATAAAATTAATAATAATTATTGTAGAAGTGTAAAAAATGTAAAAAAAATATATACAAGCACTCATAGTGACAAACTTTACAACTTTCATGAAGGGGTCAGCTTCGAAATCCAACACTATAATTCATAAACCTTAAATTTATATTTAACCGTCGATTGTCATTTACGATTTATTCTTCTTACTGAATTTCATTTTTTAAATTTTCTTTTTTGAAAACATGATCATCTGGCGAATGTAAGAAGATGAACGGTTCAGATCTTTGATATCAAGTTTCGATATTTACGATTAAATGAAATATGATGTCATATAGTTTGTTGAAACTTTATAAACATCAAACAATATTTTCACTAACCGTAAAACTCTGAATATAATATCAAGGATCAAAACCATTCATCTTCCTACATCCTCTAATAGATCAAGTTTTCAAAAAAGAAAATCTAAAAAAACAAAATTTGATGAGAACAATGAAGTGTAAATGTAAACAACAATCAACGGTTAAATTTTGGTCTATGATTTATATGATTATAGTGGCGAATTTTGAAGTTAAGCTCTTTACGAAAGTTGTAAAGCTTGTCATTACAAGCGTTTTTATATTTTTTTCTATATTTTTTTACACTTCTACATTAATTAAAAAATTATTAAAGACTTTAGGTAAGTGAAAATATACTTAAAAGAAAAATGCGTTTTTATGTTTTAGATGTGACAATATGGTATGTATATACTTATTTAGTATTATGCTTTTTTATTTGATTATTTATTAGTTAAAAATATATTTTGCTTAACGGGTAACGGTTTAGGTCATATTACCTGTTAATATTATCGAGTCGATTTCAGATCGGATCATTTTACCCCATTTATTTTAACAGATGTTACATGACATGAATACTAAAAACACGACACGAATGCCAGGTCTAGACACAAGACATCTCGAGACCATCGAGCATCGTAGACCCATTTCCTCGACCCCACACAATCAACTCCCACGTGAAGAACACTGCCACGTGTCATATAAATGAACACAAATGATTATCTTTGATTAAAACCTATTATTTTACTCTTATCCAAATGGAAAGGAAATATGCCCAACAGAGAAACTAGACAAACTGTAAAGTGGTTGGAAAACTATGCAACAGTAGTGATAACAGTAACTAGAACAATACATTAGTTTATTGTGGCTCTTTCGCACATCTTTTGTGGCTCTTTTGCACTCCTTTCTCTTGTTTAGTCTCACGTCTCAATGTGCCTGATAGTGATGGGGCCGTAAATAATAAAAAGGGACAGAGTGATGTAGAGTATTAAGAATTTTTTTGAAGCATTCGGTATTTAAACGGGTACTCAACATTTTATAAAATAAGTTGGGAAATATAAAAAAATGTGTAAACTATTTTTTACATGTATTATGATATGTAAAGTGCTACTTGAATACGTGATAGTGAGAAAAATTTCACCAAAATCACGCTGCTAATTCTATATAAACTCTAAGCAATCCCTCATACATATAAGATAGCACACAAATGGATGGAAAAAAGCCTTATCAACATCATTGTGGATACTTGCAGAGCCAACATGGAGTCGTTGATTGTTCTTGACTTCAACAATTTTAAAGGCCTCATGTATATTTGTATTGTTTGTTGTATTTGACCCTTATAAATACCTAAGGCAAACTAAATTACAACTTTCTCCTCTTATTCTTCTATTTTCTTCTATCATATTTGTCTTCATTTTTTCTTCTTGTATGAAATACTTTAGTTGAAAAATCTTGGCCTCCTTCAACATTACTTTACAGTATTTTACATTCACCCTCAACAAGTGTCTACAAATAATAGTAATTGTCAACCTATGTTGGCATAAACTTTCGGTATATGTGGCCAGGAATTGGCATATGCCTACTATGTGCTCGACGAAATGGTCATCATTTTTTGTTAATATTATAACTCCATTATTTGAAAATACTAGCTACACCACTGATTGCGGAGGTATCTCACGTCTCCTAATGAGTGATGAATCCCAACTAGCTTTCTTTAGATGAAGCACAACATTTTTGGAGTGCAAATAGTAGCTGTTGGTTTAAGTTTTAATTGTATATATTTTAGAAGTTCTATTTTAGGTAGGATTATGATAATTGACTGTAATCTCTTATTTAGTTTCCATATCCTTGTAATTATATTCTTTCTAGAATAAGGCATGTGTGCCTATATATTGTAAACCGTAGAGGATGAATAAAGCAACGAAGTATTTAAACATTTTTCTTCTTACATGGTGTAGTAAGAAGTAGAAAGTGGTGTCGGGAT